ACCCACTCTGTTAACAATAAGTCCTTCTTGCTCAATGATCTAATTCTCTCTAGAATCCTGGATTTTCTGTTTCTGACTGAAGTTTGGCAGCAAACATCTGATTATTCTGCTCTGATGGAACTTTGCCCGAGTGGTTATTCTTTTCTTAGCCAGCCCCGGGGTTCTGGTCATGGTGGAGGCCTAGCTGTTGTTTTCAGAGACCATCTTCCATGTAGCTCTACAGCCTCTGGTCACTTTGCTTCCTTTGAACTGCAGCTGATTAAAGTCGGGCGTAAGGACCCGTTCTACTGTGCTGTGGTTTATCGTCCACCTGGTCCAAACAGTTCTTTCCTTCAGGAGTTTAGTGACTTTCTATCCTCCACTGTGAAGCTGTCCAGACTGGTGATTGTTGGTGACTTTAACATCCACGTTGATGAGCCCTCCGATCTCTTTGCCATGAATTTCTCCAGCCTTATGGACACCTTTGGCTTTACCCAGCATGTTTCTGGCCCCACACACACCAGGGGGCACACTCTGGACCTTGTTTTTACCCTGAGTCTAAATGCTGGCAGTGTTTGTCCTGAGGACATTTATATTTCACATCACCATTGCATTTTCTTTAGCTTGTCAGTTTCTGCGTCCCCACCTCCTGCTCGCTGTATGGTTAGTTCTTGTTTTCTAAATGAGAGCACAGCTAGCAAATTTTCTGCTGCTTTTGATCCACCCTGTTCTTCTGATAATGACCCAGATTCCTTAACTTCTCAATTTAACGAGCACTGCCTCTCCATTCTGGACAACATCTGTCCTGTCAGAACCAGATCAGTTCCTGCAGTGAACCCTACTCCCTGGTTTAATAGCAGCCTTCGCAGCCTGAAGAGCCAATGCAGAAAAGCGCTTGTGGAAGAAAACCCATCTCCACGTCCATCTGCTGCACCTAAAGGATCTTCTGACATCCTTTAACTCTGCAGTCAGAGATGCTAGAGTTTCCTATTTTTCCAACCTGGTGTCCCAGAGCAAAGGGAACCCCAAGGTGCTGTTTAACACCATCAGCAGCATCGTCTCTCCTGCCTCTCCTACAGCCTCCATCCACTCTGTTGCAGACTGTGAGAACTTTCTGTCTTTCTTTGTGGATAAAGTCAATAAGGTTAGATCTAGCATCTCTCCTTCAGCCTTATCGCTGCCTCTCCTGACTCCAACCAGGCCCGTCATCCTAGATAGCTTTGCTCCTGTTTCTTTGCCCGAGTTAACCAAACTAGTTAACTCTATGAAGAACTCTGCATGCCCCCTCGACATCTTACCCTCATCTTTGTTTAAAAGTGCGTTTCAGTCCATCGGTCCCAGCGTGCTCTCTATAATTAATGCTTCTTTGGTTTCTGGTCAGGTCCCTGCTTACTTTAAGAATGCTGTAATCCACCCGCTTCTTACAAAACCGAGTCTCGACCCCTCTCTCCATAGCAGCTTCAGACCCATCTCTAAACTTCCGTTCATCTCCAAGATCTTGGAAAAGGTTGTGGCTAAACAACTCACAGCTGCTCTTGATGAACATAACATCTATGATAGCTTCCAGTCAGGTTTTCGTAGAGCTCATTCTACTGAAACAGCTCTTCTTAGGGTCTCTGATGACCTTCTGACTCACAGTGATGCAGGAGACTGTTCTGTTCTGGTCCTGCTGGACCTGACTACAGCCTTTGACACTGTTGACCATCACCTGCTACTGGAGAGGTTGAGAGACTGGGTAGGCCTATCAGGATCTGCTCTGGAGTGGTTCTCCTCTTATCTTTCTGAGCGCTCCTTTTCTGTGGCCGTCTCCAAGTTTAGGTCCTCCACCACCTCTCTTACCCATGGTGTCCCACAAGGTTCTGTGCTGGGGCCTCTACTCTTCCTCCTCTATCTGCTTCCTCTTCAGCACATCCTGAGCTCCTTCAAAGGAATCTCCTACCATCTTTATGCAGATGACATCCAACTGTACATCTCCTTTAAGCCCCATAAGATGTCCAAGCTGCAGCTGTTACACGCCTGCTTAGACTCTATCAAAGCCTGGATGGCTGGGAGATTTCTTCAGCTGAATGAAGATAAGACTGAGATCCTCATCTGTGTCCCAGACAAGCTGGTTCCCAAAGTCAGAGACTCTCTTGGTCAGCTTGCTTCCCACACCAAACCTTCCATCAGGAATCTTGGCGTGACCTTTGACCCAGCTCTCACCCTGGATTCTCATGTTAGTTCTCTTCTTAGCTCTTCCTTCTTCCATCTCAGGAACATTGCTAAGCTGAGTCCCATTCTGTCTCGCTCTGAACTTGAGACAGTTCTCCACACCTTCATCTCCTCACACTTAGACTTCTGTAACTCTCTTTTCACGTGTCTGAGCAGAACCTCCCTGAACAGTCTACAGGTGGTTCAGAATGCCTGTGCTCGGCTTCTGACCAAGTCCTCCAAACACACCCACATCACCCCGCTTCTCCTCCAGCTTCACTGGCTGCCAGTCAACTTCAGGGTTCATTTCAAGATCCTGGTTCTGGTCTATAGGGCCTTACATGGACAAGCACCATCTTACATTGGTGATCTTCTTAGTCCCTACACCCCCATCAGGTCCCTGAGGTCCAGTGACCAAAGCCTAAGGGTTTTGCAGCACCAGGCTAAAGACCAAAGGTGACAGATCATTTGCTGCTGTGACCCCCAGACTCTGGACCTCTCTCCCCCTGAGCCTGAGATCAGTGGACTCAGTGGTCTCCTTTAAAAGCAGCTGAAGACTCACTTGTTCAGACAGGCTTTTGTATGACCTTCATCACTCTCTCCTTGATCTGCCCTCCCTACCTATTCCACCTTCCTCAGGATCCACTGATTTCCCTCTTTCCTACTCTCTCTCTCTCTCTCTCTCTCTCTCTCTCTCTCTCTCTCTCTCTCTCTCCATTTTTTTTCACAAATGTCTATTTTTTGCTCATTTTAAATATTATTGAATCATTTTCTAAATTCTTTTTTATATTTTTACATTTTTTGTTTTTGTGAAGCGCCTTGGGATTTTTATCTTGAGAGGCACTATCATATTTTCTTCTTCTGGTTGCCTCAATATCACTATTAAAGTTTCTCCAGTGTTCACTGGAAGAGATTTTTAATATTGTACGTTCATATTTTTATTAGGGTGAATGTAACTGTGGTATGGTTTAGAGAAGTGGGGACACAGTTTTGACTGTGTTACACATTTCTACATAGCACCTTGTATTGATGAAGCACTACTGTCAAGATTTTGAGCAAACAGTGTGGAAATTCCTCATTAAATTCCTGTTTTACCACAGATTCTGCATCAGCAACTTCTGTTTTATCTGATCTAGATTCAGACTGACCATTCTCTGTAATCCCTAGAAGTAGTTGTCAGTATGAATCCCAGTATATGTCACGTTGAGGGTGTGGATGACGGCGGACCATGTGTGGTGGAGCAGATCAGGAGGCAGGAATGCAGGCATGGATGAAATAAAAGTAGTTTTAGTGGCAGAGCGGGAACGACAGAACAAAACAATGCTGACAACAAACAATGATCCGACAAAGACTCAAACAAGACTGGGAGGTATAAATACACAGGGAAACAATCAGGAACACATGGGCGGATTAACAAGGGGCAGGTGAGAACAATAAAGACTAATTAAGGGCAGGGGAGAGACAGTCAGGGAGGCAGGAGCAGATTGTGACAGTATATCACCAGTTTCCAGAGGTGTGGACTCGAGTCTCATAACTTGGACTCAAGTCAGACTCGAGTCATTATTTTTCTGACTTGACTTGATAAAATCTATAAAGACTTGCAATTCAGACTTGAACGCCAGTGACTTACGACTTGAATCAACTTGCATCTGTTGACTTGATGATGACTTTTTTGCACAAAAGTGGTACGACATGGAAAAAAATCATAAATCATTCTTCGTTCTGGGTTAGATATTGTTCTGCTAAAGGCAGCAGCACTTTGTTTATAATCAGTTTCAGTTGCTCTTTCTGCTTGTTTGAGCAAATAAATGAAGCTTTAAGAAGTTTTATTTCAGGGATTTTTTATTATCATTGTCATTAAATTGAAGTTGGACAGATTACTTCAAAGTTAAGGACTTGGGCTTGACTTGGACTTCCACATCATTGACTTTGGACTTGACTTGAGACTTGACTGGAAAGACTTGGGACTTACTTGTGACTTGCAAAGCAGTTACTTGGTCACACCTCTACCAGTTTCTGAAACCATCTGACTGGTACAAAGATCTGTGTCAAGCCCCAAAGTCTATTCTGATTAACTTGGCCAAGTTTAGAAACCTGAATGCACTGAGATACTGGAACAGGCTTATTAGACTTATGGGTTAACAGGTATCTGAGTGGGTGTAACACATAAGGTGAACATCCTACAAAAAGAAGGTGTGTAATAGGTGTCGTACTCGCGGGGACCGGGCTTTCTCAGTCCTAGCACCGTCACTATGGAACCAGTTGCCACCCTCAGTTAGGCTGTCCCCATCTCTGCCAGTCTTCAAGAGTCGCCTAAAAACCCACCTCCTCCGCTTGGCGTTTCCTGAACATGTTTGAATTTGGCCCTCTTTTATGTTGACTTTATCTCACAGTTTTCATTGGTTCACTTTTTCCCTTGTTTTACACATTTGTCTCCTATTAGAATATTTCACCTTTTTTGTAATTTGTAATCTGTAATTTGAATTGCTTTTATTTTCTGATTTATTCACTTTATTTAACTTTGTACTGTACCATGTTCAGCGCCTTGGGCTTCCTGACAGGGTTGCGGAAGGCGCTTTATAAATAAAGCTTTGATTTGATTTGATTTGATTTTATTCTCTTTTCCATGGCAGCAATATAACGTCAGACAACAGCAACATCCAGCCTTCTGCTGTTGCTTTTTAAGCTAAATTTCTATTGACAACTACCCTATAATCCTAAATGTTTGTAGCTGTGTGTGTGTGTGTGTGTGTGTGTGTGTGTGTGTGTGTGTGTGTGTGTGTATGTGTGTGAGTGTGTGTGTGTGTGTGTGTGTGTGTGTGTGTGTGTCACTAGTGTGCTGTCATGGTGACCCTCTGGCAGAAGCTTTACCTTTTCTTTTGATGTTGGCTCTATCTAGTTTCCAAATCCGATCCAAGCTCAGAAGAAACCAGATCATGCTCACCTTGCTTTAACATTTCTTCAAAACTAAATTTTCAATCTAATGCCCTCATTTCTATTTTCCAATTTGTTTTGTTTTTTAAATCAAATTTAATCAGTTTTATCCCACATTCCTTGTCGCAAAGAAGAACCATGCACCAGTGCAGTGTTAGACTGCAAGAGTCCTTGCTTTAAGTTTCTAATTTAATAGTGTGCCTTGAAGAGGCTCTGCTTCATAATGTGATGGTGAATAATTTCATAGCAATTTTAGCATTCCATCTGCTTTGAAGGCGACACCATCTTTCATTCGCTAGCATGAATGAAAATGTTCCCAAGGTCTGTCTTTGTCACTGAGGAGGCTAGAAAAGTGCGTCACAATCAGAATCCAACTGACATAATTTGCTTAGCATTTCCTGTCATTGCCAGAGTAATGACGTATTTCTGCTCATGCTTCAGTGGAGAGCAGCTGAAAGATCACAGAGCATAAACTGAATTTACGGAAAGGGGCACTGCTTTCTGACTATTCAAATAATTAGGAATAATGTGTATGAAAAATGTACAATAAGATATGATTAAAAAATCATAAAACATTAGGTTTAATCCTCATTGGTTTATTTACAAGTGCTGCAGATGGTGTTGTTTTAAAATGAGTCCAAACAGATCACAGTGAAAACAATAAATAAAAAACAACAATCAGAAGTTTTTTTTAATACATATTTTAGTTTAAGCAGAACCAACTTCATGTCAAATGTTTCTCGAGGGACAATAATAAAAAATGGAGAGGAAAGAAAAAGGAGTAGGAAGCAAATTGTGTGGCTAAGTCAGAGGAAGTATTCTGGATACTTGTATGGGGAGAGACATTTGGACTTGCCCCGGTCTATGGTGGTACACGACAGGTTGGGCAGACAGGGGCAGGTGTGGTGGAGACGTTTCCCAAAGAACGGGACCTAGAAGGACCAGAGAGACAGACACCAGACCTGCTTTCAGTAGACATAATTATCCCTAAAACAGACACGAGGATGTCGTTAGCATAGAAGAGGAACATTAAGTTGTTAAGATTCTTCGTAGAAATGCAATCTTTGTTTATTTGTGAAACACGAAAATCCATCGAGTGACAACTCATTGACAGCGTAGCAATGAAAACAGAGAATGTTTCTCAGTTTTTTACTCATCCAAACAGTAATTTAGTTTTCACTCAACCGTTTTTACTTCCACATGGACGATCCTTACTAGAATCAAGCTTATTTTATGTTGATCAGAATTTTTTTTAGTTTTTTTTAAGCTGAATTAAATCACCATAAATAACGCCCAGGAGGTCAGAATAAAATTCAGCCGTTAAAACCATATCAATGAATCTCAACCTGAAATGGAACGAGAACAAGCAGTTCAAATTTTGAGTCTTTAAATGTTTTGCATGTCTAAATTGAAAGTCTTAGGTTTGAAATTAGCCTAAATATTTACGTTTGTGTCACATTTCAGTGTGTTTTCAATTTAAAAAAGGTAAAAATTAAAGAAAGAACACGGCTTTTTAACCTATTTTAGCTTCCTAGATGATCTTGGTTTGGAAAAATACCTTTTAGGCCTTAATGGTTTCTTTAGCTGAGAAACCGTATAACACTCGTACTTTTCTGAGTTTCACATGCAGGTCCCACATGAAAACGTAGGCCTTCATCACCTTCATTTGCCGCAGAAAGAGGAAAGATGAGGAAATGCTTGGGTAAAATAAAAGTCTCTTCTATGTCACAGGGAAAATGAGTAATCATGGCCTCGGCCCACTTTGACATGCACTGCCACTGGGATAAAGAGAGCAGTAGAAGGTAACTACCAGTTTGTTGCACTTTTAGGCATCATAGTGATTACCATAAACATGTAGCTTGAAGTGATTTTATCTTCTATTTCTCCTTCCTGCTCAAACCAAGGACCAAAAAAATAAGGTTGTGTTTCCAGACATCTTTGTCCCACATTATTCTGAGGCAGCTTAAGAGTCACATAACTGTTAGCTAATCAGATACGATACATTTGCATATCATGAATATTAATGAGCCACACTCATAATCCAGTTGTTACTAATTTGTACTTCCTGAAACAAGAGCACCAGTGCTTTTTTTCCACAAGAAAATGACTCACAAGGCATTTATTCATGCTAGAGAACATAGAGAGTTTATTGGAAAAAAAAATAGATAATGAGACCTTTAAAGGAAGGATGAACCAATCAGGAACAAGCTCCAAACCAGCTCCAACCTCTGAAATCTCAGTTCGTGAGATGTTGTTTTACATGCACACATAATAAAACGCTGCTTCGGCAGGAATAATAGTTCAGAGCTGACAGGTGTAGAGGTTAATAAAATAATGCTGAAACTCAAAAATGTTATTGTTGTACAAAAGTTCATTTATGTCACTAATGCAACTTAAAAGGAGAAACTAATATATGAGACGGATTCATTACATGTAAAGCCAGATAATTCAGCCTGTGTTTGTTATAATTGTGACAATTATGGCTTACAGCTGATGAAAACCCATCGTTCAACATCTCAGGCTGTTAGAATATTGTTAAAACATTAAATAATCTAGACTCAAAGTGTTGCACTCTAATTGGATAATGAATCCTAAACACCTGCAAAGGGCTCCTGAGCCTTTAGGTGGTCTCTTAGTCTAAGTTTTATTAGTGATAGAAATGGACTTTTGCACCAGATTCTCATTTTGATCATTTGAGCTGTTGTAAGACAACAGCATCCACAGTGGTGGCTAACTAATCAGTAGTGCAGGACTTAGACTCCTCGGAAAGGGCCTTCTATGCCCTTTACTTACAGACTTGCACATTTGGACCGAAACTGCGGTCGTGACACAGCTACCGACACAGCTGCCTGGAAGAATGTTTGTTCTAATAATTCTGTGTGAAACAAAATCTGCTCCACCTGTAGAGACAAATGCGGCAGACACCTTAGTGACAGCAGAATGGTGCGACACCTCTCACCTTGTGGCTCAGAGGATGACAGCTGTCTTCTTCTCGTCCCATGGGCATGCACATACGCAGACTGGGGATCCATAGGCTTACTGCACAGCACATCCCTCCTCCACACTGGGAGTCCCTCTCACAGGCCTACACACACACACACACACACACACACACACACACACACACACACACACACACACACAGTAAAGACAAACCCACAGAAAGGCCATCTTTATATTCTTTTATGTTTTAATTTCTTTTTAGATTCACTTTGGTTATCAGGTTCAAAACTAACCCCCAAAACTACCTCCAGCTTTACTTCAACAAATCTCTTCAGCATTGACGTTGTTTTGATGAGGACTTGAGTGACAGCTCTCACTTCAGATGAGCAGATTGGGACACGATGAAGAGGACAGCAGTGGTTTTTAAGTGACAGACGACGATGAAAATCACTTTGTTTTACGGCTGCATGCACCTCAATTTCCATCAGCTCAGAGTGACAGAGCCCCGATGACAGTCTCGACCACCCTGCCTCTGCGTTATGAGTTGAATTTACTTGTATGTAAAATAGCATTTAGATAAAATGAAATAAAACTTTCATTTCGTAGCTTTTCTGGTTATTATGAAGAAACAGATTTTCAGAGTTTTTCAGTATTAGAATGCTGCTAAATGCCTCTTATCTGAAAGAAGACCAGTTTAGTTTTAATACATTTGCAGTTTAGATTCTTTTATATGAATCTTGACTGACTTTTGCCAACAATTTTTACTGAATGACACTCTCTGTAAAGAGTTGTTTCAGAATTACCTGCTCTGAGCTTAAACAAGGGGAGATCTTTACTAATTCTGGTTTGAGAGCATTTTGATTTTATGATGTTAATCCATTTAAGATTTCATGACTTTGTTTTATTTTGATCTATGTGAAGCACTTTGTGATTCTATGTCTGTGATAAGTGTGATATAAATAAAATTTACTTACTTACATTTACACTTAAAATCAAGGTGACAATAACAGATAAAACCCAAGAAAGAGCAATTAACAAACAAGTCCTTATTTATCTCTCTGCTAGCTTTGACTCACCCCTGTGATGACGGCTGAAGACCCTTGGGACACCAGAATCAGGGGCAAGAGCAGAGGGAAGAAGGACCTCATGGTGAAGAGCTGACTTGCTGTTCCTTTGCCCTCCAGAGTGAAAAGTAAGGATGCTGTTGCTCACAGACCTCGCTGCAACTGTGACGGACTGGCGAGGGAAGTGGCCTCCACACTCCTGAGCAGAGAGGCTGGCTGAGGTTTTATAAACCCAGCCTGCCTTTAACAAACTCTGACTCACTCTCACAGCCAGCATTCCCTTAGGAGCGACTTAAAAAGAAGACCAAGGTAAACTTTGCAATGTGGTTGTTGCTTTTCACACTGTTAATAATGCCCTCAGCTATGCTGAGGCTGACCAGGGATCAATGCTAGCATATTCAGTCTTTCCTCACTTCCTCTTGATATTTGTTTCACATCTTCCGGCTCCAAGGCCACAGTTTTGAAATCTTCTTTGAAATCTACTCTCAGTGATGCTCATAACGACAAAAAATGAAAGAACAGATCTGACGCGAGGCGTGGTTCTGTTTGTGTTTGGTAAATCTGTCCTTTTTTGATTCGACCGTAAATCAAAACATCCAAAGTATAAAACTATGCCCACGTCATCTTTAACTCCAGTTCAAAGCGTTCTAGAGAAGTGTCGGAGTGGCCAATCCGTAACTTTCCTCTTCAGCCGAAACAACCAACGACAAGCTGGATTATCCGTTGCATGTTCCACCTGCTTCAACGGTTCCTTTCAGAATAAAAGCTGAACCATCACTACCCCTTTTTGGGTCTTGCTAGATGCCAATAAAACTGTGGTGACCTGGGAGTATCTCAAGACTGGACTGGTCAGCAGCTGCGGCTGTTCTACAGGCTTCGGCTCCAGAAAGGTCCAAGCTGAACCTCTACACCTTCTGATCTAGACGGGGACATCCGCCAAGGGTACGTAGACCGTAAGAATGGCGTCTCATTGTGTGTTATGAATCTCCAAACCAAAAGCTTAGCGCGAAACATCACCTTCACTCCCATCAGAACTACGTTTCTCCGGATTTGCTGGTTCTGAACAACATTTCACACTACACCATCTTCAGTCTTACTTCACCTTAGTTACACCATACATTTAGTGTTAAAGTTAGTCTAGTTTTAATTTGTTTAGTAATAAATCTTTAAACTTTTAAAACTTGACTCTCTTTCTTTTGTCTCTGAGTTAATACGGCAATTCATTAAATAATATGTAAATTTAATCGTTACAGCTTCACTAATGACTTCTGAATTTTAACTATGATTATGATTGTTATAAACTTAAATGTCTTTTAAAAATGTTTTAAAGCAAAAATAAACAATTCAAAATCTTTATGTCATGCAGCTTTCAAATTATTAACTCTTATTTGCCTGCAGGTCAGCATTCTGGGTCCATTTCACCCATTACTTGACACTCATCACAGCTGACTCTGGCAAGTGAGGTAATACAGGAAATCAGGAGTTCACCACAACAGAAAAAGTCAAACACAAATTTTGTTAGACCACCTTCATTATGCCATGGATTTGCTACATACATTGATCCCTTTGGCATTGAGCTTCTGCCAGTGCACCCCAGGGCAGCTGTGGCTGCAATGTAGCTTATTACCATCAGTGTGTGAAAGTGTGTGTGAATGGGTCAATCAGGGTCCGAAATTAATTTTTTTACTCACCGGCCAAGTTGGCTGGTAGATGATGAAAATCTACCGGCCAAGCATATTTTTTACCGGCCAAAATTCTAAATGATTAGATCTACCTAAAGCATGTTATTCTGTATTATGTTGATTCCAAACAGAGTGACAAAATAATTAAAACATCAATTAATAAGAAAAACAACTCTTTTGTCATTTTTACTATTTATTTATTTATTTTTAGAGATGTTTTTATGAACTCTTTCATTGAAATCTAGTCAGACTCCTTGTTTTCTCTGTCCATGAAGTCTTGCCTCCTGCTTCTGACACCGTCTTTGTGCCAAAGCATTACAGCCTCATTTGGGTCATAGTCCTTGATCTCTGGGGAACACAGCTGCACCATGAGAATATCTGAAAGTGTGTCAGGGCTGGGGTTGTCACGGTAACCAGAGTAGCGGTAAACCCCGGTAAAAAGTAGACAATAATAATAACAGTCTTGTTTTAAAAAAAATATATTATCTCGATGGATTACCGTGGCTGCGGTGTAGGCGCGGTGACCCTTACCAGCCACCGTATCATCTGGAAGTTGCCGGCGGCACATGCGCACTTTGTTGTTTACGACCAAAATTTTCTTTGAGCTAAAGTTGAAATAATGGCCAGAGGAGACGGCAGCACTCGGGACATTTATTATCCCTCAAAGAAGACAAAGTCGGAAGTATGGGCATTTTTTGGATATTTGAAGAATGCCGAGGGACAGTTGTCTGTGAAAGGCAGCAACGCTACGTGGCCATCATAATGTAGCCATTGTCTCACGACTCCGCCATCTCCAGTTTGCCACTTTTCACAAAATCTGCTGGTCGCCACTGGTCCTGGTGGTTTTTCTTCCAGTTCAAAGAGTTTTCTTTTGGAAGGCTGGCTGACTCCAGTTAAAAACCGCCACATTTCACCGCTAGTTTTAACACGAAGCTAACTGCTAACTTGATAAACTGATTGAATGGGATAGGTGGAAATGACGTTGGATGCAGCGCTCACGTTTCGCGTACGTTTGTGTACGTTGCATGCAGGCGGGAGGAGTATCAGAAATCCATGGAAGATGACTGATAAACATAACTAATTTGGTACAAACATTTACTCGCCATGTGGCAGATAGAGCTAAAAAATTTACTCGCCAAATGGAGCAATTTGCTCGCATTTGGCGAGTGGCGAGTGTTAATTTCGGACCCTGGGGTCAATGTTTTAGTGTGGTGGAAAGCACTTTGAAATCCTCTGAGTCAGACAAGCTATATACAATATTATCAGCTCAACACAAAATGAACCACAGGGAAGCAGGGCATAACGAACACATTAACAATGCCAATGTAAATTTAACGACCCCAGTCAACCAAGACCAAGCAGACCGAAGTGTAAAGAGGCCATTGGATTGCATTCCAGAACCATTTTCAGGAGGTAAACATCTGTCACCTAGCAGAAAACTGGCTTCATGCTTACTGGTCACATGATTCAAACCAGAAATCTTACCACCACACCGCCCATTAACCTATAACAGGGGTGTTTCTCAATGTCAAGGAACCTGGCCTTGCAAGGAGATGTCTTGCCTTGATGCCTTGAACCCACCCCAGTTGCCTAGGAGATACGTCATCAGAAATGGCCAAGGCATGTTCCAATGTTCATTTTCTACCAAGGCATATGTCCTCCATTTGTTAGTTGTTAAGCTAACTGATCAAGGATATATGGGATGGGTCCTGTTGCCTTCTCTCATTCAAAAATTTTCTCTGAATACAGTGCAGTATTTTCAAAAGGATGGCGGATCAGGAGCCAGCAGCAGCTACTTGGGGGCAAACTGCCAGTTTAAATGCAAGTCAACTAATTGTAGCTGTTGGACTTTTATCTCAAATGTGCTTTGATCCAAAGTAGTTGGTTAGTTGCTCAGTAGTTGCAGCTTCGGTGGCTAGCGCGTATTAACTCGCTTACATATTAATTTTAGTCAAAATGTACAAAATGTTCAAAGTAAAAGGCTTGTTATACATCTATATTGAAACTTATACATATAAAATATATCTTTACCTCACGTGACGTGACCACAGATCCCAGAACCGCATTCTGTTCTGTTCCTTCTGTCCATTTTAAAACCCAAGTTGGTCACTGTTGGCTTTCTGTACAGAGCCAGGGGGCCTAAGTCCATAGGAGTGGGCCTGCTGGAGGTACCAGTACCAAAGACAATTATCTCTGTCTTTTTCCCATTCAAATTTTAAAGTTAAAAGCCATCCAAGATTGATGAATGAAACTAATTGCTTCAAAACGTCAAACAATACATATAATACAAATAATCATGGTTTAGACAGGCCCTACATCTCTGTCTCTTTAGTGTGTGAGCACAGATTAGAGATTAAGCACATTTTGGCAGTTTCTTTCATGCTGACATGTGTGATCTAATGAAAAAAGACAGGGTGAAGTACTTACAATCTAAACATAAGACAATTTACTCGCTGAAAACCCAGCAGAGCACAAATGACGATGAAGAAATGTAACATTTTATAGACTGCCTCACAGCCAGAACGGTTATCATTCTTAGATTGTCTAGCCCCCCATCCTGTTTCCCACTGTCCCATTTGGCCCACCTCTACAACCATGTGGAAAAATGAGGAGCAGCAGATTAGGAGGGTTTTTGGAAGCTAAATACTTTTTGGAAGATCAATGCCATACTGTTTTCTAACTTTCCCTGTCTCTGACTTTGTGCAACCCCATATGGCACATCCATTGTTCATATAAAATCTTTTTTAATGTATTTTAAGACCCTAAACTGTAGGGTTTCATTGAGCTGAATGTGGTTAATGTCGGGCACCCACCTGCTGGGTCCATCCAAGAGAACAGATTGGTACAGACTGTGAGGGAACATGGGGTGGAGTGAACATAGAGTAAACATTTTTCTTTTTTTTTCTTAGTACAATTTTTTTCAGTAAAGACATTGCAAAGAGCAAGAGACAGGAACTGAAAGAGATGTATTTTCTTTACAGTGTCACAATTCAATTCCATCAAAACAGCTCAAGAGCCATGCCTCAACTGACCCCAGTTACTCATCCTTCTTTATTCTGGCATGGCACAAATGTTGTCCTTGGCTGTCAAATTACATCCGAGGACAAAAACTCAAGGTGCAGCTGCTGATTGAGAGTTGAGGAAAATTATTCTGAATCTCAAGGTTGGTGAAGACTGACATTGAAAACGATTGTTCTCTAAATGTAAAAATACTTTAAATCAGTTTCAGGAAATTTCTCTGCATCTTTTGCAGTAAGAGTGTGAATTTTTAAAACTAGAGTATCTTCCCTTTTTTACATACATCCAAATATTCTACATGCACATAGCCTGTATTGAATTTCCTCCATAAACAACTGTGAAATACGAAAAAGATTACAGGACGCAACCCGAACACGCTGAAGAAAGCCTGGACACCCACAGCAAAGGACAGTTTGTGAAGCTAATTTAGTTCACAGTAAGTCCTTGAGACTAAATATTTGTTAATTAGAGAGGATGTTTTTAAAAGCATTCATCTTTGTGTAGTTGAAATTATTATTATTATTATTATTATTATTATTATTATTAGTTGTTTTAAATCCACAGAATCACGTATTGTCGTTATGATTCAGGTGTCTTAACCCACGGTCATTGTAATAAGAAATAAATAAGGACACTGATTAATGAAGACTTAAAAGGCTTTGTAGTCACAGTGAAGATTTATCAGTTTCTTTGTTGATCACCGACAGGTGATGAAAGATGCTGTAACTCTGCTCTTCGGAGCTGACTGCTGCTATTAGCACGACCACGGTCTTCTGTTTTCAGACAAGATTGGCTCAACTTTCTTTAAAACAAAATTATTGTAGGCCTCCGGACATTTGAAAGTATTTAATTTTTCAAGAGCTCCAGGGCTTTATAGCACGATGAATTGTCCATTTCTGACCTAAAGGCCCTGCTCTATTTGCTCTGCCAAGCAAAACCATAAGTTTCTGACACAAGCCTAATCTACAAGATATGGGCCAAGGCCACTCATGCTCTGTGCTCTTATCTAAACTGTTGCCTCCTCGGACAGCACAAGAAAGAAGAAGAGCTCTTTTAGAAACAGAACTATTTCTCTATTAAATAATAATCAAATAACTTTGTTAGTCCAAATAATCATGTGAAGCTCAAGGTTCAGTAAATCTGTGAAATGAGAATATTAATTAATTGATATTATAATCCTATGATAGTATTTTAATAAGGAATATAACTTTAAACTAGACACTAGACTGATCACAGGTAATGTTAAAATCACATGACACATTTCCTTTTTCTGATCCAATTAGAACCTTCCAGATCTGATGTGAGGCGTGGTTTTGTTGGTGTTTATTTTGTTGTCACATTCTGATTCGACCATAAATCAAAACTTCCAAATTATACAACTATGCCCCACGTCATCTTAACTTGAGTTCCAAGCGTTCTAGAGAAGTTATTGGAGTGGCCAGTCCGTAACTTTCTTCTTAAAGCCGAAAGAACCTAACGACAAGCTGGATTAAATCTGTTGCATGTTCCACCTGCTGCAACGGTTCCTTCAGAATAAAAGCTGAACCATCACGACCCCTTCAGGGCCTCGCTGATGCCAATAAACTGTCGTGACCTGGGAGTATCTCAAGACGGGACTGGTCGGCAACTGCGGCTTTGCTACAGGCTTCGGTTCCAGACAAGGTCCAAGCTGGACCTCAACACCTCCTGATCTAAACGGGGACTTCCGCTGGGGTACGTAGACCGACAGATGGCGTCTCAATGTGTGTTATAATCTCCAAACCAAAGCTTAGAGCAAAACACCATCTCACTCCCATCAGAGCTAATCGTTTCTCCGGATTTGCTGGTTCTGAACATATTTCACACACACACCATCCTCAGTCTTACTCCACCTTAGTTCATCATACACATAGTGTTTAAAGTTAGTCTTGCTCATATTGTTTAGAAATAAATCTTTTAACCTTTTTAACCTGACTCTCTCTCTTTCTTGGAGTTGATATGAAGTGTTGCTTAATCCCTGCAATAAAAAGATCCAATCTTCTGGTTACATTTATTCAATGATCCATTAAGGTGATATTTCATATTTTATGATATTTCACATACTATGGTTTCTAATTAAATGTAAGAAAATCTTCTCTACAGTGTAATGAATTAGATTACATGTTATTTAATGAGCCATAAGGCATAGGAAATAAGAAATCTACCTTACGGATCTGTGAGGTTATTTAAACCAGAAAATTGGAACTTTTAATTGCAGGGATTAGATAACCGCTTCGTATTCACTCAGAGACAACAGAAGAGAGAGAGTCAAGTTTAAAAGTTAAGAATTTTATTACTAACAAATTAAACTAGACTTACTTTAAAACTAAAGGTATGGTGTAACTAAAGTGGATGAGATGGTGAATGGATGACGTGTGAAGTTAAATCAGAACCAGCAAATCCGAAGAAGCGATTGTTCTGACGGGAACTGAAGGTGATGTCTTCGCATTGAGCTTTGGTTAGGAGGTTCATAAACACATAAGACACCATTATGTTGGTCTACCTACCCTTCGTGGAAGTCCTCTGTAGATCAGGAATATTGAGGGCCAGCTTGACCCTCTCTGGAACCGAGCCGGTAGGAAAAGCTGTGGTTCCGATCAGTCCAGTCTGTGAGTTACTTCCGGGTACACGGCAGTTTGTTGGTGTCTGGGGAGACCCAAGCCCGGGTCTTGATGGTTCAGTTTTTATTCTGAAAGGAACTGTTGCTGCAGTTGATATAGCAACAAATTTTTTTCAGCTTGTCGTTGTTCTTTCAGTTAAAGAGTTTAGATCAGGATTGGCCACTCCGTCACTTTCTCTGGAACGCTTTGAACTGGCGTGGCATAGTTTTATACTTCGGATGTTATGGTTTATTGTCGAATGAAAAATTACCAAACATCATCAAAACCACGCCTCCGTCAGATCTGTAAGATTCTGATTGGATCGGTGAAAGTAATGTGTCATGTCCTTTTAACGCAACGTGAAATCAGTCCTGTTGGAACATTTAAAATCATATTACGTATTATATTCTATACGATCATAATAAAGTAATTAATATTTTGATTTCACAGATCGGTCACATCTTATTTATTGACTAACTTTTTGATGGATTAGCTTTATTAAAATAGAGTTCTTTGATTAATTAAAAGAAAATAGTTCATTCTTCTGTTGATATGAAAATAAGCAGGTTAGAAGGAATGCATTAGACCTTGAGACCATATCTCATGCAGACTAGTCTTGAGCAGAGGAGGGAAAAGACAGTCATTCCGTTCCGTTACATATCCCCCCTTTTCAATGGTACGGTGGTCCGTGCAGAGACCACCTGGCGTTGAACAAACCAGAGTCCTAAAGGGACTCCGATGACAGGAGAAGGTGCAGGTCCCCAAGGAAGAGGCCAACAGTGGTGAGGTACGAACCCCACTCCAAAGAACAGTCTATGGTTTCAACAGTCTCGCACAATCCCCACGGGTAGGGAATAATTCCAACAGTATATTGATCTTTGTAATTGCACTTATCGTGATTCAGTGCGGGAAAGAGCAGCAAGCAGGGCAGGTCCCAGTGAGCAAAGTATCCCAGCAGCCATGCCGGAACAAACGGTCGTCCAGGTCCTATGAGCCAGAACACCCATCAGGAGGATTACAAGGATTAAAAGGATGGAATTTGAAACTAAACACAGCAAGAACACACCAAAGATATCTATTTTAGAGTATTGGACACAATTTCAGATCCAGAGGGCAGATTTATAATGCTAAAAATATCTATACAGAATCAAAGCTTATGTATCGTCAGCATATACTGTCCAAATATTGACGACCCTTCATTCTGTCATAATTTTTTCTTTGTAGTCTCCAAACACTTGGACTGTCCACTTATACTTGGAGGCGATTTTAATTATTGGATGGGAACTTTAACAGACAGGCTCAGTACAGCTGGGACTCAGCACAATTGGCAATCCACTAATATAGTTAAACAGTACATGAGTGATTATGGGCTTTGACACAATCCGGGTCTGAAAGTGAGGCCAATGCGGAAGTGAAATAAATTGCAGTTCCACCCTCATCCACTGGGGGCTGGTGTCAGAAGCGAGCAAATCCTCATTGACTCCCATGTTAAAAATACCAATTTCACAGCAGAAATAAACATGTTTACAGCCAGGTTCCAAAACATGTTTTGGTTTAATTGATCTAGTTTATACTCATGACAACTCTGAGGGGGGTGAATTTTTTTTTTCACTCTTCTGTTTAAGTGTATTAAATGCCTAAAATTCTGTATAATTAATGAGTATCAGACCCACGTGACCACAGCATCAGACCCACATGACCACAGAGCTAGCTCAGTGGAAAGGCCTCAGTAGTCTCAGTCTGAGCCTTGGTCTCACCTGAAAACTGTTCCGCGATTTTTAGTCTCTGAACTTAGACCAGTAGTTGTAGCGTTTGTGTATTCTTTTTTTGATATTATTTGTGCAATTGTTGGACAAAATGACTTGCTGTGGTAGTAATTGCACTAATAGAGCGTCCAAGGAGTCTCCCCTTCATTTTTTTCGGTAAGTTAAATGATATTTATGTATTTATGTCGATGATTTTACGTCACTGCTGCTCTTGCACTAGCTGAGCTTAGATTTTAACGTGTACTGTTTAACCATGAAATGTAAATGTAATTGGGTAAAACCCAGTGCATTTAACATAATGCTGCAAATTAGAAAAGGGCTTGAAATATAACATGCTGGTGGAGCTGGGTTCCGACTATCGGTATGGTCCCCTCCCCACAGCTCGCCACATCTCTGATCGCCGCGGCGCTTTTCTGTTGGGTGGGCTGCCGGCTTGTGGAGCTCTCGGATAGAAACCAATGTTTTCCACCTGGTTCTCCCCCAGCGGCAGCTCTGCGAATCTCTGATCACGGCAGCGCTTGTCTGCGGGCTGCCAGCTTGTGGAGCTCTCTGTTGGAAACTGATGTATTCCACCCGGTTCTCCCCAGCGGCAGCTCTGCGCATCTCTGATCGCAGCAGCGCTTGTCTGCTGCACGCTGCCAGCTTGTGAAGCTCTCGGGAGACCTCTGTTTTCCACCCGGTTTTACCCAGCGGTCAGCACAGCGTATCTGTGACTCAGAAGCTCTGGTGCTGTGCACAGTTAACTCTGGTTGTAGCTAGGTTGCTACCTCCGTTAGCTTAGCTCCCACCTCCGCGTTAGCTTCGGGTTAGCTTCAGGTTAGCTTGTAGCTACATTAGCTTCAGTTCGACGGTTGTCGACATTTGATCCCAGCCTTACAGCCCCACCCTCAGCTCCACCTCTCTTCCCTTTTGTGGAATTGCCTGGGCTTGACGGAACCTGTCACATGGTCAAAATGGTGGTGGTGGCCACCTCCCATTTTTCCTCAAAAACGTCTTATTGGAGTCTATGGAAACCCATTGTCCATATATGTATATGTCGATGGATATCACTCATGGGGAGGATTGCTACAATTAAAATGATGGTCTTACCAAGAATAAATGACTTATTTTCAATGATCCAAACAAGCCACCAGCTGACTGGTTTAGGTCTCTGGACTCCTCAATCACTAAATTCCTTTGGCACGATAAACCTCCACGAATTAGCTTAAAAATGCTTCAGAAGACCAAAGACAGAGGAGGACTGGATTTACCCAACTTTTATCATTATTTCTTAGCCAACAGGCTGCAATATATACCAAGATGGTTGCAACATAACCCACTAGATGAGTCCTGCTTAGCTGTTGAACAGACACTTTGCAATACGATAGAGCTTTCAGACTTACCATTTATTAGCTCAAGCATAAGAAAACATGAAGGCTTTAAAGGAGACATAACATGCTTTTAAGTTATTCCTTTTTACATCTAAATCCTTCAGTTGGGGTCTAAATACAGTGGAACTGCAGTTCTTTGGTCTGATTTCCTCATTATTGTTGCTCTACAGACCCTCATCTACCCCTGTTCTGAGGAGAGTCTTGAGAACGAGCCGTTTTGGGGTACTGTCTCTTTAAACTGGAGGAGGAGCTGTAAACTCTGCCCCCCCTCCATAGTGCAGACCTGTACTCTCCTCCCCCAGTCGGACTTTGTAGTTCTATAGAGAAATCATTATTTAGCATAGCAGATTTAGCATAGCATATTAGCATTTTTAAAACATGTGGGGAGAGTAGTTCATCAAGCTGTTTCATGGCTGCTAACTCTCTCATGCATTTGTCTGTAGTCACTCACACACACCCGTCACGGCCGACGGAGGGACAAGCGAGCAGGCACGTGCGCGCGCACGCACACACACACACATCCGTCACGACCTACGGAAGGACAAGCGAGCAGGCGCGCGCGCACACACACACACACACACACAAGGAATGCTGCTTGCTTATTTCTATAAAAAATGTTTTAAAAATGATACAGCTCATTAAAACACCATTAAAAGAATATATTTTATTAAGATCTCTCTCTCTATATATATATATATATATATATATATACATACATAGAATTATAAATAATTTTATAAGTAGTCTTATTTTATATTGGGTGTCTTAATGGCTGAAAATGGATAAAAAGCAGTTACATTTTAATTTAAAGATTTGAGATTCTAGTCAAAAATAAAGAACATTCCTCCAAATGTTCTTTAATGTGATCATTATAATTCTAATGCTTACAACTTTGTTTTTATTGTCTGCAATGCGTAGCCTATATCTTTATTAAATGTGTTTAGCTGTAAAGTGGTAATTCTCTCTAACGTGTACAGAGAGGTGGATATCAGTGCTGCAGTGAAATTCCCAAGATCAGTCTGCTTTGCTAACAAATATAGTTAAATCTTACCTGCATTCTAAATAAATACCGTTAGGTGAAAACATCAGTAGGCATTGAGTTATTGATAAAATCCCTAACAGCCAGAATGGAAGAAGAGCATGCTGGGTCATCCTGGATCTGAGCCTGTTCTGTGTATTTACCTACAGGATGCAATAAATGTCTACAAGGCTGAGTTTGGACCATTACATCTAAAAGAAAGCATACAATCAGTGATTTTTTTTATTGTTTACATTAATATACAAATTTTCTAAGTATTAACCTCACAGCAAATAAGTAGAACTATATAATAAACAGGCTTTAGTAGTTAAACAGGCGTTGTGCACACAGGTGCTTTGTGTCTCGGTGCTGGTGGTGTCTAGGTCTCAGAGTTCCTGTCCTCCTGCTGTCTTCTGTTGTCCTCAGGATACGGATTGATGTTTCCTGATGATGAGGGAGGGGCAGTATGTGGGCTTCAAACTGGTCCTGGATAACAGTGGGAGACCTCCGTTGTCTGAATACTGAGACCAGAGGGTTGGTGAGATGCAGATCTTCTCTACCTCATCTAGAAACGGAGTTGGTTCAGGGAAAACTTTTCCAAAGACCAGTTCCATGATGTCATCGCCATATTCTGTAATGATAGACAATAACTTTAATGACATATTTTGTTTACAAGCAGCTTTAGGAAAGTTGTTTCTTTAGCTTTCATGTTTATAGTCACGTTTGTGTTTGTTCACAAGTTCACTTTGCTGCAGTGACTTCATATTTTCTTACAAATGTAATAAAATAGTGACACTAAAATTATACAAATGACTCCTTATGAAAGGAAGCTCATTAGAGAGCAGTGCAGACAGACTTACTACATGCTGCAGCTGTTTTTGTAGGCCAGCTGCTGCTGAACTTGGGGAAAGTTATTCTGCACACATCCAGATCAGATGGTCGATTACAGAAAATAATGTAATTCAATAATTTCTAAACAGACTAAACAAGTAAAACATCAAATAAATCACTCTGCTGTCATCAGACGGAGTGATTCAGGGGGAGAGGTGTTCTTAATGATGAGGGTGGCTGAGGTGTGTCAATACTCACTTTGGTCTGGTCCAGACCGTCTCTTTACTGGTGGGTCTCCTTCCTCAGTAGGTGACGTGAAACGCCAACATCTGAACGTTCTGTGTTCCTTAGAGGAGAAGAAAAGTAACATTAGCAAGCTGGCTAAATTATTTTTTACTAGCATCTCAAGGACTTGGAGAAGCAGATCTTCACTTACCTAAACATCAGACCAGTTTGTCCCTGCTGAGCTCATCAGGGCGTTAGTCTGACAGCCTGTCAGTGAAACACGGCTCCAGACTTCTGGATGTTGACTCTAAAAAGCAAAGGAGCATTTTTACTTTTGTTTTAAATATTTTACAGCTGATTTTATCAGCTTTCCGACGCTCACGCTCATACAGACGGTGAGCTTTGCTGCGTCTGACTGATGCAGAGTTAGTTTTTTTATCTGCAGTGAGACAAAAAACTAACCTCACTTCACTCAGAGATCGTTCTTTAAAACTCTATTAAATCCACTGTGTTGACGCACTTTAATGACTTTGTCACGCTGCATTTTAGCTGATATGGGACTTTATTTACTGGATGCTAAGATTACATCACACTCACGTAGAATAACACACAGGCTCTCTGCTGCTACAATCAGTGGGAGGTTATCATCTGGTGTAAAACAAGGCGTTGATCAGAAATCACGTTTTATTCCACGAAAATCAGCCAAATCCACATTAATCTGAGTGCTAACTTTACTAGCATACTGTGCTAGCGATAGCAAGCCGGATGCTAACGCTTTAGTGCTGCTAATGCCCGTAAATCTAAAGTAAAGTTTGTCGACATTTTAGAGTGATATGAAGCTTACCGCTCTGCTGCTGTGTCCCGGTGCTGCCACATTCAGATGGAAATGACTCCTTTTAGATAGATGAAGCCCTCAGTACTTACTAGCCTGGAGACAGAACGAACGAACCACGCGCGCACGTGCACACGCACGCACGCACGCACGCACGCACACACACACACACACACACAAACAAACACAAACACACTACTTTTTCTTCTGTGTTTTTTTAGCAGTAGTGTCATCAGCTCCTGGGTTTAAATACTGCCACACCACCCTTCCTTAAAACGAGGAACAGTTTTGAGCTGTGTGTGGCTAAAATAACCAGACATTCTGCATTTTTCCAATAGGACTACAAAAAATCTTAGCGAGAAGAAAAAATGGCGGATTGGCTCTGTGTTTAGCCGAGGGCCATTACCATATTTGGTAGTTATCTTGACGAAATAAATTACTGATGTAATAGATAATGTGAAAAACTGAACGGGTGGACAAATATGCCCAAAACTTAATTATTAAATATCTAAATAGCAACTCCAGTGAATAATATAAGCCTTTTTGCTCACTTAGACACTTAAAATGTGAAACACACTGTGTTAATGGATAAAAAAGTGGGTTTTTCATGTTATGTCTCCTTTAAAAGTATTAATATCAGCACCTCTCTGACAGCATGGTGGGAGTATCTAAAAATGACAGTCTTCACTAATACCATGCAGATGCACACCCATCTGGAATAATCCAAATATTTTGCTAAATTACAAAATGATTAACCTTCCAGACTGGAAAAGTAAAGGAATCCTATACCTGGAACACATATATGAAGGATTGGACTTCATCCCATTTAACAGAATAGTCTCCCAATTTGGGATAGATAAGAATAGCTTTGTAAAATATCACCAAGTTAAATCTGCAGTTAAACAAAAATTTGAGCTTAATAAAGTAGAATTACAAACACCACCAAGGGTATTAGACTTCTGTAATCTCAAACACCCCAAACTACTGTCTAAAGTATATAAGACACTGTCCAAAATAGACAATAAAATTGCAATCCCTATTGAAAAATAGGAGGTGGATCCATCAGTTAGCTTTGACCAGGACTTCTGGTCCCAAACTTGTTTAAAAACTTTTAAAATGATCAGACACCCCAATTTATGGGAGGGGCATAGATTTTCTGCTGGGGTGGGGCTAGGTTGGTGCCCTCGGACTCCGTGACAATGTCCAAAATAGACGATAGATTAGCAATCACTGTTGAAAAATGGGAGGTGAATCTATCAGTCAGCGGCGGCCATGGGTTGCTGCCTTGCGGCTGCATTGCCCCTCAGTAGGTCTTGGTGGAGGCCTCGGGACTCGGGGTGTGGGGGAGGCGGACCCTGTGTGGGGATCTGGGCGGGGACTAGGGGATGGGATCCTGACTTGTAAGCTGCTGGGAAGAAGGCAGGAACAAATGGCAGTGCATGGCCGTGGCTCAGGGGTCTCAGGTGGACCTTGGCTCCTCTGAAATAATAACAACTCTGTCCTATCATGGGGGAGGGGGATGTCCAGGAAGGGGAGGACCCAACCTTGCCTGAATGTCTCATGTCTTATATATTCTGGAAGTTGTGCAAATGCAGGGATGGGAGAAGATCAGTGGCGGCTGGTGAAAAATATTTTTGGTGGGGCTGTGCTATTTTTTATTTTTAAACAAACTTGTGCTTTCTGAGCTTTGTGCACAACTTCACTATTTCCTGAATTAAGCACAGCTCTTTTATTTCCTGTCTTACATCATTGGACAAACTGATTAATCCAGGTGTGTCTGACTATTGGCACACTGCCTTGCGGACCAAGGTTGAAAAATACTGCATTAAATTGCACATAAAATAACAGGACCATAAATGGTAAATAGGCAATGCAAGAGACAAGTAACAAAACATTTTGTTTAATTTCAACATTTGAGTGAACACGAAAAATTATGAGCAGGTCACTGTTACAGTAATGGTAGTAAACACCACTTAGACAATATGCCAGAAATTTACACTGTTAAATATTTCTGGAGTGTTGTGCCAAGGTCAACTTTATACAAAGATCAAGTGGATGCATTTGTGTGTGTGTGATACCTCATTTGTACAGAAATTTTGCCCTTCTGTGATTCTGAGTGGCAAAGCTCTCGATGAGCTTTTTATTGAAGTCAGGAATGTTTGTGACAAGCTTTTTTTCCATGGAGAGCATGGCAAGAGCATTCAGCCCATCCTGTGTCATGGTGTTCCTCAGGAAAGTCTTAATCCTCTTTAAAGTAGATAAATAAAAAAACAACAGATAAGTACATAGGAAGCACTTTCATAGGAAATAATGTCATCAGTATCCTCTTACAAATGTCATATTTCCCAGTTTTTGGGACAATAAAACATTTCTGATTCTCAATCAGATGTTTTTACATTTGAGGTAAAAACATCTAATTGAGAATCAGAAATGTTTTATTGTCCCAAAAGCTGGGAAATTTGTTTGCTGCAGCAGAAGTGTAACAAGTAAGATGGAATCAGACTGATGTATGTACAAATTTACATGAAATACACATTTACATGATTAAATATTTATAATAAGTATGCGTGTTGAAATGAGTTTTTACAGTTATTGCACATTAAACAATGTACATGTTATTAAACAAATGTCCCAGTTTGTGGGACAACCAAGGATTTCTGATTCTGATTGTCTTGTTCACAGAAATGTAATGTACAGCTTATCTCTGCACCCAGCTGCTGTTGTTCTCCCTGGCCAAATGTCCTCCGTTTCTTCCGTTTCCCTCGTCGAGCTGCATGGCAATGTTAGCTCTGCCTAGCATGGCTAGCTTCACCGTGTTGTTGTCCATGTGTGCCCGGGATGACTCGTGTTTCTTCACCTTCTCAGAAAAATGTTTCTTGTCTGTAACTCCTGACTCATCCATGCCTTATCTGTCCCAGCCGTTTTGAATAACAAACACGGAAAGCAAAATAACGCATTAGCGTGATTGCATCCAGCTAGCCAAGCCTTCCTGGTGTACCAATTTCGGGAGAAGCCTCGTGTGTACAGTTTACCTCTCTCCTTGTCCTGCTGGCTTATCTTTATGTCGGGCTGATCTGGTCCAAGCTCTTTGACATTAAGTTTTTCCACCATAGTTCTCCTCTCGAACGGATACTGGAGAAGAGACCGAACTGAATTCAGTGGCTGCTGAGATCCGGTATCCATGCTGGTTGTAGTCACTGGCGGCGTCCATGTTACATCTGCGTCACGACCAAAAACGTCTCTGCCGAGTTCTACCGAACACCAACGAAAGCCTTTGGCGGTAGCTCTATCGCCCACCATGCTTCTGAAACAACGTTGACGCTGATTGGATATATTCCCATTCCTACCGTTTAATTTTCTTGTCAGCAGTTGGTCGGCTGGTGCCGTCCTGTTTGGACGGCACCAGCTTTCATCCCGGCACCTGTTTGTTTCAAAAACAGCCTACAGCCTTTCTGTCGCCTCCACCGCTCGGCAGAGAGCTTCTCATCAATATAGATATATAAATATTAAAAAGATTTGTTTTTGTTACAAAACACACAATTATTGTTAATTTTATTTATTTATTTTTTTTTAAATAAAAATTAAAAACACTGGGGAAAACTGGGAGGGCGGCGTCCTATCGCCCTCTACTGGCCAGCCGCCACTGGAGTAGATATTATGCTGGGGTGGGGCTGGGTTGGTGCCGTCAGACTCAGTGGGGCTCTGAGATGCTGCTGCTTTGGGCCCTGGCAAGATCGGCTGGGGGTCTCCATGCCCTGGAGGCATTTTGTGAACAGAAGTGCCTATTGGGGCCAGTGGGGGAGCTGGCTCCCTGGAGGGCTTAGGCCAACCAGCCTTTCCATCCCATCAACCCATACATTTTTCTCCTGCTGCTCCTTCACATCATCACACATTCATGCACTTAGGACCCTGGGGGGGTGGGCAAGTCAGGGGTGCAGGTATGGATCCCATTTCCGCATTCCTGTGGCAGCCTGCCCCCAATTTTATTTGCACTTTAAACACTTCCACCACCAAAAAAAAAAAAAAAAAAAAAAAAACACACACACACACACTTAGGACTGATCGCAATCAACGACATTTGGCAAGGGGATCTTTCAGCTTCCTCCCGAGTGCCGGTGCCCACTTCCACCCCACTTCCCCCCACAGCCCTCTGTCTGAGGGCTCTGGGGGGAAGTGGGTTACCTGGACTGCCTGCTCACCACAGCCATGGAATATACCTCATCAACACGCACTAACACTGTAATGGAGCAGGCGGAGGGAGTCTAGGGGTCTTAACACACCTTTGCTGTTGCTTGGCTTACAGGGGCTGGAGGCTAGGAGGGTGAGCTGGCTGTCTTGTTGGGGTCTGGGGTGGTGAGATGAGTTGGGCGGGGGTGCCTGCTCATCAACACCCCAGCAGAAAGGGGCGAACTCTGGGAACCAGTGATAGTCATACCCTTTGTGCAGCAGTACCAGGACCAGAGTGAATAGGTTGTGTATGGGGAGTGTGTATGGGTGTCTAGCCTTCATTTTTGTAAGTCTTAGGTTGTATGTGTATGTGTGAGGATAAGGAAGGGAGTGTGTGACTGTGTCTGTGTATGGCTGTGTATGTCAGGTGGGGTCTTGGACTCCTCCCCTCTCCTGGGACTTCTTGTGCAACTACACATATTCGCCTACCCTCCCCCTGCCACATTTGGTGTGGAGTGTGGTGCCTTGGTTTGCCCGAGTGTTCAGGAGTGCTCCCGGTTCAGGGGGGTTTTGGAGTCTGCCTGATTGATCCTGGTGGCTGCCTGGTGCGTCCTGGGTTGCTGGGTGGTGGGAGGCCACTGATATCGTCCGGGACTCTGCCGGCTGCTGGTTGTGACCCCCCGGGGCAATCCTCTGCGCCTCTTGAGAGGGGGCTGGGGCTTTTCTGGTTACAGTCTCCCTGGGGTTCCTGCGCTCTGGGGCAGCTCCTGGATCTCTGGGACTTGGAGCTCCCTCCATCTCCTACACATCTTTGGGGGGCAGATCCGTTGCCCCTCACACTCTCTATTGGACACTCCTATAGAGATACCTTACATATACAAGCGCGTGAACGCACATAGGTGCTCACATGGTGCTCTCATAAGTATGGACTTGGGCAATTTCAAGCAATGTGTTAAGGCTATGGTTGG